CAACAACAACAAAAACAACTGTGTATTACTACCGATAACGGCCAAAAACTTCTATGCATGTGTAGCGCTTTTTTCCACACACTGCAACTGCCAACAGCAATAACAAAGCACTGGATGGGTTATACAACTTCGATTTCATTACACGTGCATATCGAGCGAGCGCTTTTTGTTTTCATTGATGGAACTGCCATCTCCATCTCCATCTCCAGCTGGAGATCTCCCACCTCCACTTCGAATCGCACTCTAAAAGAGTGTCCGCTGCCTGTTTGCTCGCTTGTGTTGCCAACTTGACGCAGTTTTGTAACCACTTGGCAGTGCAATTGTTTGGAAACAACTCGTGATTGAGCTGCACTGAAGTTTCGGGGAGAGTACGAGTGTACGGTGTACCTCCCTAATTCCTCCGCTCCCGTCGCTTACTTTTCCACTCACGCGCTGATGGTGCGAAAGTTTCCAGGTAATGCGCATGAAAGTTGCGAGATAAACTTTTGCATTAACACTTGGTTAATATCTAGATTATATCTGCGGCGACTGCTAAAAGAAACTGTAGAAAAGACCATTGTAAAGGAAAATCCTCTAAAATATCAGTCCTAGTTGTATAAAGTTCTAACAATTTCCGTAATGTGGCGATTTTATTTGCAGCGGATTAGAGCTTTAAAATGTTGAACGGTTTTTTTTTTTTTAAATACGCTTTTAAATTTAATTCATAATTGTTTTTTAGTATTCAAGCAATTGAGATTAATTTTGTTTGCGAACTTTGAAACAGAACAGTTTTATTTAAAAAAAACACACTTTAAAATTTTATTCATGATTGATTTTCAGGTTTCAAGGAATTGAGATTAATTTTCCTTGTGAACTTTGAAACTGAACAGTTTTATTTAAAAAAAAACACACTTTAAAATTATATTCATGATTGATTTTCAGTATTCAAGGAATTGAGATTAATTTTCCTTGCGAACTTTGAAACTGAACGTTTTTATTTTTAATAAAAATACGCTTTTAAATTAAATTCATGTTTGATTTTCAAGATACAAGCAATTAAGATTAATATTCCTTTCTATTTAATTTAATTTCAAAGCAAATTAAAGTGGAAATCAAACATTTTTAAATTTAATTTTTTCCAGTACGTTTCAAAACACAAATAATTTGCAACCTTAAACTGTATGTATGTATATCTAGCTATAAATAGCAATTCAATTTTGTTTGTATCACACACACACACACACACACACACAAACACACACACACATACACGACTATACTTTTTCCTCTGCAATTGCTGCTGCTTCTCGATGCTTGTCTTTGGGCGCATATGTGTATATATCTAAATATATATAGTGTGTGTGTGTGTGGGATAAGTCTGGCCAGTGCCTGTAGCTGTGTCTGCTTGACAACTGTAAACAACGCCGGCACACTAATAGCAACAACAACAACAACAACTACAAGGAAGCTCTTGCTCAGCGCCCAAAAGCAGACTATGGGAGAAATGTCTAAGCTGATTCCTGCGTCTTGAACTGCCATCGGAATGTTTTTTCTTAAACAATATTCGCGCTGAACGTTTGATATCAATGTCAAGTGTCTATGCTGCTAGTCTGCCACGCCCCCTCTCCGCCTCACCGCCTGCTTGCTGCTTATTTAAAGCAATTTCTTTGATACTTGAAATATTTGTGCCCAAGCATACAGCAGAAATGAAATAGGAAATAGCAAGCAAAGGATTATATGTAGCTACATATATGTATGTGGATATATATGTGTGTGTGTGTGTGTGTCAGAGCTTAAACGCCAGCAGCTTATGGCTTTGCCCGCCACCGCCACCCGCTCTTCAATCAGCCAGCGAGCCAGCTTGGCTTGCTTGTCAACTTTTTTTCTTCTTCGTGCCATACTTTTTATTTTGCACAAATTTAATTTCGTATGTTTGACGCGTCGTCTGCCACCTAACTCCCTCTCTCACTGCCACTCGCTAGAATGCTTGTCGTCTGCAAGCAATGTCCTGCGCTCCTTTTCCTTCAGCTTGTTGGCTGCTGTTGCCACTTCCGGCTGCGCGCACGTTTGTTTGTAAATATCTGTGTTTGCTTGTGTGTGGGAAGTGAAATTTAAAGATTTTTCCTTGGCTTGTGCTTTTCGTTTTCGTTGCAAGTTGACAATTACACCCACACACCCACACACACACACACATGTAGCTTTCAAATTGGCACAATTCCTATACTCATGCCCATTAAACTTATCAATTTGATGAGCAGAGCTCTCTCTCTCTCTCACACACACACACACATCTCTGAGGCAACGCATTTTTTAACGCTAATCCATTAAATTGATTCTGATGGCAATCGAATTTAAGCTGCTTGACAAACACACACACACACAGAGAGAGAGAGAGAGAGATTGGAGGAAAAAGTTTGTGAAATTTTTACGTATTTACCTCAGATTTACGTTAAGCGATTTGAGGAGTCAGTTCTGTGGCTCGGCAATGCGTAAAATTGAATTAAATTGTGCCTGATAGATAGATAGATTGATAGATGGATGGATAGATTTTTTGGCAACAACCAAGTCTAATGAGCTAAGAGCGTCCATAAGCGTGGGAAAATCGAGAAAGGAATCGAAAGAGCAACACTCGTACTGGAGAGTACCTTTTTAGAATTTAAATCGACACCCGAATGCATGTAAACATTTCAAATGTGATTTGTCAGCATAAATCAGCGGTCCACAGCACTCAAGTGGACCACACACATACACACACACACAGACAGACACTCTTTCTGGGGGACAGACACACGACCCACCGTTGTTGTGGGCTACACACGTCAACATTTTTTGGGTTATTTATTTAAATTTTTGTATCTTGGTACATAAATGTCAGAAATTAAGTGGAATTTTGAGCTCAAGTTAAAGAAAAACACTTGAACTCCTCTTGCATCGTCTGTGGCGAGGAGGTGAGGTTTCAGTTTTTTTTTTTTTTGATTTTTTTTTTGTTCCTCAGTCTTTGGAGCTGCTCCCACCTCACCACAAACATGCTCATAGAAAAATGCAGCACGTGATCTCGTTATCAAATGTGTTTTGTGTGTGTGGAATTTGATCTTTGGTTTTAGTTGCTTTTTGTCTTGTTTCTTCTTCTTGCATTTCGTGCTGGCCTAAACAAACACTCGTAAGATTACAAGAGTGCCGAGCTGTTTCAGTTTTTTATCTGAATATATGTTTGGATATCTATTTGCGCATTATCTTCTGCTCTGTTTAAATAATTTGTAACATTTGTGGAGTTGTTGTTGTTGGCCTGCTTTGGTGGTGGGTTCTGCCATATGCTGTTCAAGGAGAGCTTGGACCCAGACGGGTCATACCCATTCACCCATTCACCCATTCACCCATCCACCCATCTAGCTGCTCATCTGCCCATCCAGCCATCCAGTCATCCACCCATTCGGCCATTATGCTCTGAAGTCGTTCGCTTCGGCTTGCCTCGCCTCGCCTCGCCTCGCCTACTTACAGGCTGTTGCCCAATTTTTCGCCACTACTGCTGTCGTTGTCCTTTTTGCCGCTTAACTTTTCATTGTTATTGTAATTTCTTGTTGCCTTGCTGTCCGTAGTCCGTTGTCAGCATCATAATGATGACGTTTTTTATTTCTGTTTCGCAACACAACAACAACAATAAGAAGGAGAACAAGAAGATGAAGAAGAAGAAGAAGGCAGCAACAGCTGTTGCTCAGGCAACTACTTACGGAATATACCGCAAGCCAGGCAAGAGAACAAGAGCAACAAACAGGTAGGAGAGAGAGAGAGAGCAAGAGAGAGAGAGGAGGAGAGAGCGGGAGAGCACGTGCTGTGCTTTAAAGTAATTTCTGTGGCAGGAAAATCGGTCGATTTGTTTAGGGGCGTGTTGTGTTTATTTATATTTTGATATTTAAATTACAAGTAGGGGCGGGAAAAACTTTAAATGCTATGCCACTCGGGTTAAAGAGGTAGGCACTATTGGGTTAAAGGCAGCCACTGTCTGTGAGCTAACGAGCATGGAAGGGCGTGGAATTTAAGTTCAGAGCAGTGTTTTCAATGGAAATTGCAAAGCAACCAGAAAAGTTGAAGTCAATTGAAAATAATTAAAAGGAAACAAATAAAAAATAAAACTTTTAAATGATGAAACCTGCTTACAAGAATAATGCTTTGAATGGAAAGTTCCAAGTTCAAAAAAATCGAATTAAGACTAAAACTATTTGATTGATTGAAAAGAAACTAGTTGAAGGCATGCAACAAACAACAATTGATAAATTAAAATAAATGGAGTGCACTAAATTAAAAAGGAGAATAAACAAAAAATAACTTTATAAAGATTTAAGGTTGTTAAGGTTAGAAGCATTATTGAAACGAAGCACATTATGGAAATAAGTTGAATTGAAAATAAAATTGAATAAAAACTGCTGCTTGAAATATCCAAATTTATTGAATGCAAGTTTTTAAGGGCTAGCTAATGGCAAAAGGTTTGTTCAATTGTTGAAAGACATTTTAGAGTTCTACTAATTAAATGCCACTTTTATTTTGAACTGAAGCTGTCTGCTTGCCGCTTGACTTGTGGGCATATGTCTGCCACTGGCTGGCATGTGTGCCACACGACAGACTCTCTGCGATTCAACCTTTCAAGTGTGAAGCACTCGACATCGACAGTTGTTATCAATATGCATTAACCGGAATCGGCCCACCCCAATCAAGTAAAGCAATTGCGTTTCATTCCGGGGCTGTTATTATAAAAGCGGATATGCATAATTCAATAAGGCGCATAAATTTTTGACACCTTGAACAAAGGAAAACACTTGCAGCTTGTTAGCGGCCCAGTCGAGAGTGTTTAGAGCTCAACCCTCCCCATAATTGGGCGGAAGGCGAAGGCTTTACCTTTCCCAAAGGCAGGGCAGAAATGCCAACAGCTGTGCAAAATGCAGGCGCGCTCATTATGCGAGAGGGTTGCATAATTTTAGGGGTGGGGCCAAAAAAAATAAAAATACATAAGTTGAGAAGCTACTCACCGGCATGGCTTGGCAGACGTCGCTCTCCCATTGCTGCTGCGCCATTTGCTCCTCGTTGCAGTCCTGCGGCACTACCGTGTACTCGGCCAGGGCCGGGGGTCGCGGCGGCGGCGGTATGAGGAACTGTGGCGGGGGCGCCAGAGGCATGCCGGCGCATTCATCGCACTCGAACATTAAGAACTCGGCATCCATCATATCAAACATTTTCCACATTTGATTTTGATGTGTGTGCGTGTGTGTGTGTGAGTGTGTGTGTTTGTATGTTGGGGCGAGTGTCCTTCGGATGTCGTCTGAGGCAGTTCCTTTGCCTAAATTGGAATGGTTGCTTGTGTGTGTGCGGGGCAACCAAAATGCAGAAGGGCGTTGTGTCAAATACACACTCCCAGCGCTGGCATCTTTCGGGCGAACGGCGGTCTCAACAGAGCTGCAAAGAAACAACATAGTGTTAGTTATTGTTGAAAACAGTGTTGCAAGCGATGGTTAGGAATTAATTATTTGTATAAGGAATACAAAGGGGACTTGAATCTGTGCTCAGGCAAATGATTTGCTAAGCAGCAAGACTGCTGGAAGACAATGGTTAACTGTTAATTGTAAAAAGTGTTGCAAAACCTAATAACAAGTTGGAAGTCTTGGTATCAGAAACAACACTCTACAATTGTGGTATAAAAACCTTCAAAAAACTACATTAATTGTTGTAAATGAATGGAAATGTATTAAAATGCGAATGGTTTCAAAATCTTATACTTTGAATAATTTCAATTAATTAACAAAGAAAAGCTGAACAAATCTGTCCTAATTATATTATATTATTTTTAATAAAATATAACAGACATTGCACTTAGTTATCGATAAGTCGAGTTAAAACAGTGTTGCAAAAGCGTTATGAATTATTGTTTGTATAGCTTGAAGCACTTTTAAAAAATGCCATTTATTGGATATAAATTAGATGGATAAAATAAAAGACTATAAAAATGTTTCAAAATTCCTACAATATGATTCACATCTTTTTTCATTGTAAATAAATATTATTGCTAAATAGTTTCCTTCACATAATTAATTAATTTTGTGTATTTCTAGGCAATTCATACGAGTGTAAAAAGTGCTTTAAAGCAACAGTTAAGCAGTAAGTATTAAATTGTATTCTTGATTCAACATTTTGTGCGCAAGTGAAATTACAAATAGTTGTAGCTGACTGGGCTGCAGTTTTTTCTGCGAGTGCACTCGGAGAGTGGTAATTAGGTATGGCTTATAACATAGGAGTAATGCGAGGCGGTCAGCCTCAGAGTCGCTTGCAGGCTGCATTGCTAATCGCTTGTACATGTCCAGACATACATACATGCAACTGAAAAGACCCTTGCTGTGTCCTGCCTTGTCACCTAGCGATCTTCTTTTATTTTTGGCTCTGTTCTGCCCCTGCCCCCTGGCTCGTCTAATTATCTGGCAACTACAATGCACGGCACGTAACAATCACATAGCATAGTTTTGTTTTCCGTGTCTGTTGTTTGAGCGAACGATGGGCCTGGCTGGTCTGACAGTCGCCCTTATCCTTGTGCGAGTGTCCTTGTTCTTTTTGCCGCTTCCTGCTCGTTGGTTGTTGCTTTTTCCACTCTCAACAACTTTGCAGACGCGCCGAAGTCGCATAAAAACAGCGACCGCCATTAAAATGTGCGCCCGTGTGTGTGCATCTGTGTGTGTAAGTGTGTGTGTGTGTGTGCCGCAGTTAATAATTAGCCCATCGCGTCCACATTCACAGCCATGTGGCATTTGTGGGTTGGCGGCACCAACGCGTGCCTCTTGCGCCGGCAAAGCGATTTTCTTTCTATCTATTTTCATTCGTTTTTTTTTCTTTTTCGCAACTCCAAGTTATTTTTATGCCCCGCGCTAAAATTGTGCTTAGGGATTTTTATTTTTAACGCGCCACACCACCCTGCCCCGCCTCGCACACCCCTAACACCTACCCTACCGCCACCCCCCTGCAGTTTAGCGCAAGCCTAACCCTCAGCTTGTCCCTTTTTTCTGAGCCGCACCGCACCGCTAATGTTAATTTTTATTGATTTTATTTAATGCCTTTTTCTATTTTCATTTTCATTTATTTGCTCAGACACTTTTTGTGGCAATGTGTGTGTTGTTGCTTTTGTTGTTGTTGTTGTTGTTGTGCATTCATTGGGAGAATGTGTTGAGTCACTGGTGATTGTTTTAACCCCATGGGTTAACCTATTCGGTTTTGTTTTTTTATTTTTTTTATTTTTATTATGCTTATTATTCTTATTTATATGAACCTTATGGCTGTGTCTGTGACATTTTTCACACATATGTGGTAATCGAAAATGTGGGCCGTGGCTCTGACAACTATAGTTGCGAGAGATAAATTCTCGGCTGCTGATTCAATGAGATTTTGGGAGAAACTTTAAGTAAGTGCTTATTTAAGATATTAAAAATCTAATCTTCGGATTGTAATGCTTAGGTTATTAGCTTACTTCTAATTGTAAGCTAAAAAAGAAGAAGCTAGAGTATCTTCCCAAAACCACGAGCTATAGTAATTATTAGGGAAAGCTCTGTTAGACGCCTCTTTCTCAAATGTTTTGCAGCTCTCAACTGGAAGTCTATAAGGTTTATTAAGTCTATTTGAACATTTCAAAGTTCTCCTTTCAGTGCAAGACTCTCCATTTCAACTGCTAATAGTACACAAAAGGCATTTATTTAAGACTGAAAGACTTAGTGATAAGCTAAAGAAGAAGACAGACAGTTCTAATAAGTATTTGGGAAATGTCTGTTAGACGTCTCTTTGTCAAATGTTTTGCTGCTCTCAACTGAAAATCTTTAAGAGAATCAGAATTGAAATACTCCTTCAACTACAGGATTCTCCATTTCAATTCTCCATTTCAACTGCAAAAGGCAATTATTTAAGACTGAATTAGTGATGATAAACTAAAGAAGACGACCGCGATTTCTAATAAGTATTTGAGAAATGTCTGTTACACGCCTCTGCTTTCTCAAATGTCTTTAAGAGAATCATTTAAGTCGCATTTCAAAGTTCAACAACTCCTTCATTAACAGGACTCTCCATTTCAACTGCTAATTACGCATAGTTAACTAAACTGGAACTAATCAGGCTGTGCAATTGCTTGAGGCAAATGCTATTTAGTATTTAGTTGGACTTCAGTGAAGCTGCGTGGGGTAGGACAGTTTTCAGACTGAGCTGAGCTGAGCTGAGACAGAGGCATGCAACATAATACGCGGCATGCAGCAACATATGTTGCCAGTTGGCTGGCCATTTAATTAGTTGTCGAATGCTGGGCAGGGACAGGGGCAGGGGCAGGGATCATTGATAGCTGAGTGTGCATTGGCAGGAAGGCAAGTAAGCCAAAGAACTGATAAGATCTCGCACAATTGTTGTTGCTGTTCTTGCTGTTGTTGGTGTTGTTGTTGTTGTTGGCTTGCAATCAAATGTAAGCCGCTGTTGACATTGGAGATTAAAAGATATTAAAAATGCTGCTGTGACGCAGAGGCAGGCCAACTTTCAAGTTCCAGCATTCAGAGACAAGCCGCAGCAGAAGAAGAAAAAAGATTTCAAATAAGCAACACAATGAAAAGGCAGACACACACACACAGATACACACACACACACACACACACATGCAAACAAAACATGTCAAAGATGAAATGTTGTGTTGTAAAGAAAATTGAATTGAATTCAGCGACGACCGAGCGGCAACCTAATAAATAAACAACAAGTTGAAAGGCAAGATGGAAAGAGAGAAACAGATCTTTCAACATGAGATTGAATTTCAACATGAATACATATATATTCATATATATAGGAAATGTAAATGTGGCTGCATTTTGATGAGCTTAGGCGGCCAAGTGCATGAACAAGTTTGGGCCTAAGTAGCTGCTCGTTAGGAGAAGCGATTGAATTGTCAGAGTTGCGCTCGAAGTGTAACCAAGACAATCAATCTATAGTTGGCTAGATAATGAAATAAATCGTGTTGAACGAAACAGGAGGAGAACAAAAAAACCATGAACTTCAAGATATTTTGGCAGACAGACAAGCCAGAGACAGCATTAAGCGACTTAACGAATCCAGCCAGACTCTAGAGGCGAGACAGCCGGCAGCAGGAAAGAAAAACGTAACGGAAGACGACGATGAAATCGATTTGTTTCGAGATTAAGTCATGACGACTCGAGGGAGTCGGCGAAGCCAGCGGCCAGTGGTGCCAAGGAGCTGCCAAGGAGCCGGAAAAGGAACACAGCGGGCGCGTAATGGATATCACCAGTGTCTCGGGCAGGTGAGAGCGGCAGGACAATTAGCAAGGAGTGCGAGGGCGAGTCCGAGTGTGCACTGATAAGCGAAATCAAAGCAAAGCCCAGCTGCGAAATGAGAAAGAGAAGGCCATTAGGTAATTGACTTAAAGCCAACCGAACAGTGAAGCTGGAAGTGTGAGTATCTAATAGAACGACAGCTGTCTGCCTGTCTGCGTGTCTGCCACTCAACTCTTTCCTTCGGCTCTGATAAGCGGAATGGGCAGCACTTCAAGGCAATCAAGCCAGCTCCCCACTTAACTTGCTTTCCCTGCTTTCGCGCAGCTTGGACGCAGATTTATGGCAGTTGTTGTCTCAAGGCTCTGAAGAGTATCCATAGGCGCGCACTTGAGAAACAATTGTGGCCAGCTGCCGTTTCAATTGCGATCGGAATTGGGGTTTTAGGCTTGGGTTTGGGCAATGGGAATCAGAATCAGAATCAGAATGAGAATGAGAATGACAATGGACTCGCTTACAATGTTTAATTGAATTGTTGCTGGCACAGGCGCAAGACTTGCTTATTAATTGAAACAACAACAGCAACACACACACACACACTAGATATGTGTGTTTAAAAAAAGTCAGCCAGTCAGTCAGTCAGAAATTAGAAATTAGCTGTCCAGACGGCAGCCTTCGGGGGTTGCTTTCAAATTTCCTCGTTTCCCAATTTTCCTGTTCTCCTCTATGCTCCTTCTTTTTTGTTTTTCCTTTTCTTTTTTTTTTTTTTTTGGCACGCATTTAAATGACTCAATCGAAATGTGTCTATCGGTTATTTTTATTTATTTTATTTTTTTGTCTCGGCCAGAAGGCAAACCAACAACAAGTCGGGACGTGTGTGTGCGTGTTCGCGCAGGTAAACGAAACAGAAACCGAAACCGAAACACATTTATTAGCTGCAATGATAAATGTTGCCCGAGCTGGAGGGAGAGACAACAACACGACACAAGGATCGGCCAGGCATTGGGCCTGGGACTCTGGCTGGGACTTGGCTTGCAACTCTGGCCGAGGCGCGCGTAATTTTAATTCGTTTTGGGCCAAAGGGAAATTGATATGGGTAAGGGTGTCGGGAATGTAT